TGTAAGACCTATCCGATGTTGTATGTTAGAGCCCTGCTTGATGATGTTAACTTGTATGGAAGAGGTCGAGAGAATCCACCAAGGATGTAAGACCTATTCGAGGTTGTATATCAGAGCCCAGCTCAATGACGTTAACCTATGTGGAAGAGGTTAAGAGAATTCCCCAAGGATATATGACCTATCCGAGGTTATATGTCAGAGCCTTATCTCAATGACATTAACTTATATGGAAGATGTCGAGAGAATTCACCAAGGATGTAAGACCAATCTGAGGTTATATATTAGAGCCCTACTCGATGATGTTAACCTGTGTGGAAGAGGTCGTGAGAATCCACCAAGGATGTAAGACCTATCCGAGGTTGTATGTCAGAGCCCGGCTCGATGACGTTAACTTATATAGAAGATGTCGAGAGAATCTATCAAGAATATATGACCTATCTAAGGTTGTATGTCAGAGTCCTGTACGATGAAATTAACCTGTGTGGAAGAGGTTGGGAGAATCCACCAAGGATGTAAGACCTATCCGAGGTTGTATGATAGAGCCTTTGCTCGATGACATTAACATGTATGGAAGAGATCAAAAGAATTCACTAAGGATATATGACCTATTCGAGATTGTATGTCAGAGCATTTGCTCAATGATATAAACCTGTATGGAAGAGGTTAAATCGAATCCCCCTGGAATCAATTTTGCCTTGATTGGAAGGGGGCGAACACAACGTGTATCCCAAATAAGGGGTGAAAAAAGATCTATTTTTAGACCATTACTTCCTTTTTGAGGTCGAGATTAAGACCTTGCCCAAGGAGTAGAAGACTCATAAGGGACTGTATAAAGCTTATAATTGTTTGGAAATATCCTTGGATTTGCTAGAATTTTCTTAAAATATCATTTTGATGATGAAAGCATCAGAGGACCTTTTTTACCCCAGTTGGAGTCAAAGTTACCCCCAGTCCGCATCTGATTCTTATGATAATGATGCAGCAATGACTGATGTCAGAAAGTTGATAAGAGCAATCTTTTGAGATTGAAGCAATAATTGCCCCCCTATTGGGAATCACTTTCCCACTGACGGTGCCAAATTGTTGCATCCTAGAGTATTTGTGGTGGTAGCAAAATATAAAATTTAATGTCTTAACTTTGTATGAAAATTTGGCACGCAATCAGATAAGAGAGAAGGTGTAGCATTTATGAGACACCAAGATTTTTACGTGAAAACCTCTTTAAAATGGGAAATACCCACAGGGCCTAGCCTAGTTTGAATTAATTTACTATTATTTACAGTTGATTAAAAATAAGGCCCTTCTTTTGGGAAATGCCTTAGCTTGATGTATATCTTATAAAGTAAATTACATGGTGGGAATACAAAGAATCACTACTGATGTGTTTTTTTGGTATGTAGGACTATAGACAGTGGGCGACGTAAGTCAGAAGGAATGTAGTCGGTGGGCGACGGAGGTCGAAAGAACTGTAGTCGGTGGGTGACGTGAGTCAGAAGGACCGTAATCAGTGGACAACGGGGGTCAGAATTACTGTAGTTGGTGGGTGACGTAAGTCAGAAGGATCATAGTCGGTGGGCGACAAAGGTCGGAAGGACTGTTATCGGTCGATGACGTAAGTCAGAAAGACCGTAGTCGGTGGGCGACAGAGGTCAAAATGACTATAGTCGGTGGGCGACATAAGTCGGAAGGAACGTTGTCTAATGAAGAAGGTCAGAAAGATGGCGTTAGGTAGAAATTCAATAATTGACAGAAATCAATCATCAAATAGATGTCCGGAGAAAGTATGATAGCAAGCAGAAGTTTGGCATTGGGTAAAAATTTGGTAAAGAGTGGAGGTCCAGTGTCGGGTAGAAGTCCGTCGTCAATTGGCGGCCAAGGAGAACCCCGACGTTAGATGCTATTTGGGCAGAACTCCGGCGTCACTTGGAGTACAGGTGAAACTCCATCATCACTTGGAGGTCGGGAAGAATTCCGGCGTCACTTGGAAGTTGGGCAGAATTCCAACGTCACTTGGAGGTCGCCGATGTCACTTGGAGGTCGGGCGGAATTCCGGCGTCACTTGGTGGTTGGACAGAATTCTGACGGTGGTCAAGGAGTTTCTTCCCACCTATTCTTCTTTTCTTTTCATCTTCTTGCTTGGTCTTAGGACCCCTCTTAAGAGAAATGAGGGGTTATTTATATTTTTTTGAGAGTGGCATGACTCGTAAATAGGAGGAGGATCAAGGGCAAATGTAGAGTGGTTTGGATGGACGGTTGATATTGAATCCCTTGATCGTGGACCATTTGTCAAACATTTGAAGGTCTTAATTATATTAGAATTCGGCGATCTTAGACTCGTTGGATTCGTCTCGTCGAGCCGCTGGATTCGTCTATAAGCATGTCATATTTGGAAACTGTTTGGTAATCAAAATTATGGATTGAACCTTCCAAATGTGCTTCGGGCCTTCGATTCGGACACATTTGGGCTTGGATCGAGTTGAATTTGGTGTCGTTGGATTCATATTTCTGAGACGCTTAGTTTGAATATAAGTTTTCTTAAATCAGAGTTCAGATGATCCCAAATTTAATTTTTGAAGTTTCTAACTTTATTTTTGCCTTGTGATTCGTGCCCGATCAAGATAATTTTTTTATGACATATCAAAAAGTATTAATCCATAAACATTAACGATATAGAAGAGAAGATTCAAAAAAAGGCCAAACATGAAAATACAAGTTAGAGACCTGCAAAGTAAACGACGAATGCAAGGGCACCTAAAAATGCAATAAAACTAAGGATTGAAATCAAGAAGAGAATAAAGCCTGTTGGACTCAGAAGCACCACACAAGTTGTTAGGCAAGGACCATCCATTAGAGGTATAAAATGAAGTAGCAAAAAAACTCAAGAAGAAGGCCATAATGAAAGAGTATCCACCAAGGTTGCCAAATCAAGCCACGACCATCCAGGGGGCGAGTAGGAGAACTAAGACATCATTGTCTGACTCAAACAACTACCCAACCGATCCCAAACAAACCGAGAAACAAAAGCAGCCGGCCACCAGCTTCATCAGGCAAACTAAAATATCAAGATAATCTAAATAACAAGAGGCCAACATGATAAAGACCCCCACTAAAGCACAAGCCCAACCAATAATCAAACTAGTACCAACCCAAACCATAGATGACATAGAAGGCCAACAGCAATAGAAATCCATATCAGACAAAACAACCATCTTCTTTTGGCTTTTTAGCTACCCCGTTTTCCACCTACATGACAAAAAGATTTTTCAATGATTCACCCAACATTCAAACTATACATATCATCCACCGGATCATTCAATTCTTCCCCCATACATTGCAAGGCTAGGAAGCATCCCCATCTTTCCAATCATACACTACAGAAAAATCATGTATTACCGATGGATTTTTTGATGGATTTTAAAGTTTCCAGCAGATTTTCGATGGAACTATTTTCATCGGTAAAATGAGCGTCGAAAACATATAACGACGAAAAAACTTCCAGTAGAATTTGATGGCCGAAAAATTTCCAAGGATACCCGAAGGCGGAATTTCTGTTGGAATAATTAAAAATAACAATAATAAGCCTAAATTTGTTGCCCTCCCAGCCTACCCATAGCAACTACCTGCCCCGCCAGCACAACCCGCAGCCCACGCACTAAACTTCTAGGTGCCAGCCTGCTCCCACATCACTCAGCCCACAACCCAGGTCCACACAAATAAATTAATAAAATAACAATTAAATAAACTAAGGAATTAAATTAATAAATAATTAAAAAATTATTAAATTAATTATAAACTAAAATAACTATAAAATTATTAATTACAAAATTTTAAGCTTTTTAAGAAAATTTTAAAATCTATTGGAAAGTTCGCCAGAAATACCGCCGGAAACCAATTCGTTAGAAATCCGCCGAAAAATCTACCAAAAAATATGTCAGAAATATTTCGTCATAATCCGTTGGAATTTCGTTGAAAAAACCGCCGAAAATCCACTGAAAAGTTTGTTGGTAATAGACAATTTTCCTATAGTGAGAGTGATCCAAAGATGATTCGTTCATGTTCAAGGACAATTGAGCTTTCAAAGAATCAGTTTAGATTAGAGAGATCAAAACATCTATAAAGGATACAATTTCATTTGGTTAGCATTACTAGAAGAACCACTAAACACCGCCGAGTTAACAGGAAAAAATCCTTTTCAACAACAATAGGCAAAGCAGATGGTTGAAAATCAATTGAAATTAAAGCCATATGATTGATCATAAACTGACGTAGGAGCAACATGAGGAAGGTCGACAGACCCCTATTACCATCATCTACATTGGTAACAATAGTAGCATCCAGCCCATAGTCAATGACAAGCTCCAAGTCAACAGAAGGACAAACATTCACAGAGTTATTATGGGTTTCAACAAAAACTTCAGATGGAACGTCTAAAGCAACCATAGCATAACCCAAATCCCCCATAAGGCCGAAAGGGGGTATGGACGAACAAGCATTTAGTTGAATCGAACTGTTATTGGAGCCCAAAATTTCAAAACATCCGCACTAATATCACTAGGCAAAACAAGAGGCAACAGATTGGGCAACACCTCATCAATCTTATGATCATAGCCAAATAACTTATATGACGATATAATATCCTATGAAAATATGTTTATAGTTAACTAACAAGTTATTTATGTTGTCTTGTAACTATTAAATTTGTGTCAGCATAAAACTAGTGTCAATAACAACTAAATATTGAAGATAGCAAAATAAGCATCTATTTGAGCATGGTATTAGAAATGAAAATAACAAGGAAGTAAATAATATTTAACACTCCATTTTAAGCATTTCATACTTTTCTTATATCTGCTCTACATAAACTTCCACTAATACCTCCACTTGTACACATACCCCCTTTTATAATTATTCCACCCTTCCATTAAAGCACCAAAATCATTCGCTATGGGCAAAAAAAAAAAAAAAAAATCGACAAAGATACCATAACTCTGTAGACTCTGAACTCTGAAGCTTATTATTGACCTTTTACATACACGAACTTCATGAAGTTTTTCAACGGTCACTTTTCAACGTGGAATTCACAACAAAATAGTTAATCAACAACCAGTTACAGCCACAAGTTCTAAGAGCAATTGGAAATTGCATCGCAAACCCAAGCAAATGAACAAAGAAAACCACATCGCATCCAAAATAGCCAAAAATTTATCAGAGTGGATTACATCAAGAAAGGAACCCAGTAACGCTGCGGCAGACAGGAACCAATATGTGTCAGAACCACGAGAAAACCCGGCAACCCCTTTTCTGGCGAGCCACCGCACAGCCGGCAGCAATCCGCGTCTGAATCCGCTCGAAGCGCCACGCCGGACAAGGAATAGTTATTCCGTGCGGATGGTGAAACCCAAACTCCTTCTCGGCCTCCCTAAGAAGCTCCACAAAAAGCGGATGGTTAAAATGCAAGATAGAAACCAAGTAACGCTGTGGCGGCTCATCCTCCTTCTCGCCACCGCCGACGTACACCGCTAGGTACCCCTTCGGAGTCGGGCTCTCCTTCCCTGCTAACAGAAGCCTCTTAAACCCTTCATCGTCGCCACCGCTGATCGAAGCTACGCAGTTTCTCTGTCTGAGATAGCAGACCCACCGGAGTACACGGATAGCCGGCGCAAGAAACTGCGATCGATGACGTTTGACGCGGCGGTACCTTCTCGACCGGTCCCGGAGTATCCATCGCCAGACCAAAACCATCCTTCGGTCCAACTGGAAGTATTGAACGTTGCTCAAGAGATTGCCCAAAAGCTGCTCCTTTCTTTCGCTTCCTCCACTGTTTTTCTCTTGGTTCCTGGAGCGTGGGAGGGGCCGCTATATAGTTGAAGATCGGCCTGATTGAGAAAGTGGGATTCATGCCGTACACGGCCGGCCCAGTACAAAGAGATTATCACTCTTGATTGACCTCCAGATGCAATTGATATTTTTTTTGGGAATGGGTATCTATCCGAAAAGTTGCTTGGTGGTGCGACTAATCCCCGGCTGATCTAAAAGAGGCACCCACCCCAGAAACCTCCTCGTCCGCATTTGATTGAGTTTCACTTAAAAGGCGTTGTAGCCAGAGGGAATTCGTGCACGAGTTGGAGTTCCCAACTACTTGCCCACCAACCAAACTAAACAATGATGGGTCTCAATCTAGTTTGAATGTAATATTTTTTTCCCAAATTTGACCCACTTCAGCTGGCTAGTGTAATTCCCGCTGCTGTTTTTTGTGTTTTTTACCCATATATGTTTTAAAATAAAAGTCAACGAAGAATTCTTACAAGGAAAATACTTTTTTTTTTATGAAAGATATGAAAATTTTCTTATAATTCTATCTGAAAAAATATTATAAGAAAAAAAATTAAAAAAAAAGATGTGAAAATTTTCTTTTTATTTTTGAAAAAACCGACAATAGCTTTAAATTTCATCTTTTAAGATTTTAAATAAATCATAATTTTAAATTCATACATATAAGATCTGAAATTTAACTTTTTTCTTAAATTCTAATAAAAATTTAATAAAATAGTAAATAAATTGTAGCTAAATAAAATTATTATAAATTATTAAAATTAAAAATTTGAAAAAACTAACTCTAATGCACTGTTAATATAGTGGAGACTTAATCCAACATCCTCAATTTTATGAGACAGCGATTCTGAAGAGCAGTGATAATAAAAAGATTTATAATAAAAAACTGGAAAAAAAAAAGATGTCTAGGGTTTTTAGCGTGAGGCGGCTGTTGTTCGGTATTTCTTCTTCTCTAAACCTCCATTTTCCTGCGATTTTCTTATGTATGGATGCAAATCATTTAAGGGATCCTAGGTTATTGGATGGTAAGCTTAAATCCAAGTCATTTTGTGATGCTTTATCTGGTGATACGCCTGTTTTTCCACCACTCAAAGTAATGTCTCATTGTGGTTTGTCTGCGTTAATCATTTTGGATGAGGAGTTACCTTCTCTTGCAGTGCCTTCGAGTTTGCGTAGGTAGGGAAATTTCATATCCTCCGGCCACCTCTTGATTTGATTCAAAAAATTTTCTTTAATCTCAAGCTTTCGAGTCCGGGTCGGGTTTTCGGGTCAGGTCAAAAGTTGACCCCCCATGTTTATAGGTTGATGCTTCTTTATTTGATCTGATCTGGATCGCTGGGGCTACTGCTGGTGGCTTGACCGTACTTTGGATTGTTTCCCTGTAGGCTGATAATGGAGGCTTCATGTGTCTGATTTTGTTTTGATGCTCTTATTTGCTTTGATCTATTTTTTTATCCTCATGTATTTGGTATGATCCAAAACTCTTAGGTTTTCTTTCAAATGATGTATTTTTAGGGAGCTCAATGGGTTTTATCAAAAAAAATTTAATTCAACATCTTAATAATATTTTTTTAAATATTTATTAATTAGATTAATTGGAACTCATCTTTAACTAGGTTTTTACCTTATGTATGTCTTGTGGCGGCTTCTTGTATACTCTAATTAATTTAAATTAATTAAATCATAGAACAATGATTAATGGTCACGTTTATTTAGGAGTGTCAAAAATTGAAGCTACCTGAATACTTGACCCGAACCAAACACAAAAATTTTGGGTTCGGGTCAACCTGAACCCGAAATGGGTCGGGTTTGGGTTGACCCAAAAAATGTCGAGTCAATTTCGGGTTCGACCCGAGCCCGACCCAAGACCTGAAATTAACACCCCTACGTGAATCCATCTTCGAGGAAAGTGACAAGAGGTAGGGGTAGTTCGAAGTGGCTCATTTATAATTAAAGAGAGAAGTTATTTTGATTCAAATATTTTTTATAATAAAATTATAAAATGAGTGAAATCAGAAGATAAATAATAGAGAATTATTTGATATAAGAAAATAAGATATAAATTTTAAATATTTTTAACAACTTTATACTAAAACTCCTCAATTATAATATACCTTATGTATATTTTATAGAAATATTTATTAAATGAGGTAGCTTATAAGCTAACTATTTGAGTAGAGGAAGACACAAACTTGACTCAATAGTTTATCAAGCTCAGCTCACGAGTCATTTATTAAGCCGAGCACGAGCCAACTCACGAGTTGAGTTGACTGACTTATACCCTAATAAAAGGTTAACAACTTGTGATCAAAGTGTGCGACATCTCACTCTTTGTTAACATATTGTTTTTTATAGATTAATTATATTCTATGTGAGATATATTTATTTGCACAAAACTTTGTGGCTAGGCTATATAAATCAGTAGAAAAGTGTAAAAAAATAATATCTCTTTTTAGAATATGTTTGACTGTTTGAGACACTTACAATTTTTTGTAAAGGTGATTATAAAGTTGTTGTGGAGAAATTAATTTTTAAAAGCTATTGTATAAAGTAGCATCCTAGCATAAAAATTTCTTGAAAGTAACAAAAAAAAAGTTGTCAGACAAAACCTGTGGTTGTCATATGAAAAACAAAGAAATAGTCTCTTAGCCAAGTATTTAGGCTTCCAATAAAGAGACTTTGGATTTGAGGCCTTACTGACACATTTAATACTGTGATAACCAAATTAGTCACCTCAGTCTCTCGCGTTGATCTTTGTTATGCTCAACTAATCTCAACTCTAGGGCCCTTACCAACTTAGTCATCCTCACCATTAAAGACTAACTGCATCCTGCCACATCTTGCTTGTCAATTCTATACGTGATAATACATCAGTCAACAATATAACTTTGTAATTATGTGTATGTAATTCTACTGTATGTAATAGATATACATATCATGCTAAGTAATGCTTCATTTGGGATAGCTATCTTATTATTTCTTAAAGCAGCTTTCTAGTAAAAAAATTAAAATTTTTGTACTATAAAGCTTCTTTAAGAAATAGTAAGTAAGAAAGTCATATCAAACAAAGCCTAAATTGAGGTGGAAATCTTCTGTTATCCTCTTTGTTCTTCTTTCCTCTTCTCCTCCTTTTTCTTAACACATTATTTATGGCATTAGAGCCTGGTACTTTATAACAATCAAATGCTATCTCTTCTTCTCATATTTACATTTCTCTCCCCTTCATGGCCAACTCCAATTCCTTTTAAACAAATGAAACTATAAACAATTAACCTACTGTCATCATTATAAGTGATATTGTAATCTCCTCATCCTAAAAATTTCTTATTTTTAATCTCATGCATGGCTTAAAACAATAAAATACCATGTCTAAAGATCTCAAATACTAAAAATATTCAAGGCAAAGAGCTTCGTCAAATTTCTCAATAGATCCACAAATGATAGTCAAGACTTACCCATACCCAAACCACACTACATGTCATGGATTCCAACCACTCAGAATATGATCGTTGAAAAATACTAAACCATTTCAACCCAATCCTTCCCCACATCTTCAATCACATTACTCGTAAGGAATTTCGACAAACCATATAATGCATTGCAATCCATAAATTGATCAGAGTTTTTAAAACAAAGAATGCTGAAGAAACATCTTAATGAAAAATTAGTCATGATTAATAGCTATCTGAAATGAAACCCCCACACCGCATGAAAATCGTTCAATTACTGGCAAATTTTTCCTACGACAAGCGGCGGCCTAACTTTTACAAAGAATTTCGAAGGTTTTCACGCAACTTTCCGGCATTTCTATTTCTAGCGGCTTTCGTGGTGTTCTAGTAATTTTTGAAAATTCATATATTAGTAATTAATTAATTAATAATTTTTTAATTAATTATTAATTTAAAACTTAGTGTAATTAATTATTAGTTTACTAACTTATTTAATTAATATTAACTTTAAAATTTTATTTTTATTAAATTTTAATTATAATTTTAATGTAATATAGTTTAAATAAATAATACTAAGATTATAACACATTTTCCCTCTCATTAAAATGGTTAGGACTTTGCAAAAATGATCGGACTCAGTTTGAATCCCAGGCAAGGCGCCGGTGGGGCAATAGGGCTGGCGGCAACACGGAGCTCTAGCGAGCAGCGGGCCAGCGCGGGACTCTGGCGGGCAACCGGGCATGGCAGAAGCTTAGGCGGGCAGCATAGGCAAGCGGGTAGCTACGGCAACTTCTTTTTAAATTTTTATTATTTTTTTAAAAAAAAATTTTGGGGTCTTTTTCCGCCGAAAAACTACAAAAAAAATATTTAACAATGGAAATTACCGGTGAAAATATTTTTCCTATGTGTGTTTTACCGGCGAAAAATTTTCCGCTGAAAAGCCGCTTAAATTTTACGAAATCCCCAAAAGAATGACCAATTAGTGTCGGAAAATGCCGCCGATAATAATTGATTTTCCTGTAGTATCATCAACAATTAATATTATCTTAACTGATTCTTAAATTGATCATGAAGATGTAATTTTCTACATCTTAATTAAATGGACTACCTCCTATCTACCAAGCATTCAAGATAGTAGTACATTAAAAATTGAACCCCATACGGCTAGATGAATTATATTTTCTTCTCTATAACAAATACTTAAAACATCATTGAGGAACAAAAAAATTATTATTATCCCTCTTCAATTGTTAAATTGATATGTCTATATCTTATGGCGGTGGCTCTTATTCCTCCGAAACAAAGCATATGGATTCATTAATAAATAGCTATAAGCATGGTGTGCTAACATTTCACACACCTATGGGTGGTCGCTTAAGTTGTCCTCATATAATAGAACAATTATTATGTCTTCTGACCGGACGTAGAGCTACGTTCGGCCGCCAATAACACATGTTGCCACGTGCTCTTGCTCTTTACCACGCGTCCCGACGATATGACCCGATCCGGAACCTGGGAATGCTATGCTCGCGTATTGCAAGGTAAAAAATCGGTACAACTCGGTATTTGCTCGGTATTGCTAG